ACAACTAACAAATAGCTAAAAATACGTATCAGTTACCACTTCTAAATTTTTTTTGTTTTGTTCAGTTGTGTCCTACTCTCCATGATTATTTACCCCCAAAATATTCGTATGTATCCACTATCAGTGCTTCCACCTCTCTGTCTTCAGTGCTTCCACACTCTTTTCTAAACTATTTGCAGTCTGGCTTCTAACCTTGTCATTCAGCTGAAATAGCATTCTCCTAAATTAACAATGATCTCTTAATTTCCAAATCTAAAACTGCCTTTTCTTCTCCTAATATGCATCCTCAACCTCTTTAAAGCCCTTGGCACCGTTGATCACCTTTTTCTCCTTGCTGCTCTCTTCTTTGTAGCTTTTTATGACACTGCTTTCTCCTGAGTTTCCTACTAGCTCTCTGATTCAGTCTCGTAAGCCTAATCTTCTTCCAGGCCGTGCTTGTTAACTGTGGGTGTTCCCAAAGGCTCTGTCCTGAGTGCTACTCTCTTCTCCCTCTCTACTACCTCACAGCTAGCTGGCACAGTGGATAGAGCACTCAACCTGAAGTCAGTCATGTCAGTAACATTTATTAAATACCTACTATTTGCCAGGTGCCATGCTAAGTAATAGGGATACAAAAAGAAGCAAAACACAGCCCACGGCAAGCTGTTTAGCTTTTAAAATACTTCATAACCTGGGCCCTTCCTACTTGTCTAGTCTTCTTACATTTAAATCCCTTCTATATATTCCACAGTACAGCAAGACTGTCATCCTTTCTATTTTTCTCATAGATCATTCCATCTCCAATTTGCCACTATACCTGTTACTTACTAAGCACTTAATACATGCTTGATGAATTGACTTGGCTCAATTATAGTTGTTTTAGTTAACTATTAAAGGAAGTTTGTGAGGACCTCTTCTTGAAAAGCAGAGATATAATTTGGGCAACATGATTATGGCTTTGTACAAGGGCTGGATTTGTCCAGTGGTCTAAATCACTATTGATAGAAAAATGTAAATTAAAACAGTTCTGAGGTATCACCTCACAACTATCAGATTGGCTAACAGAACAAGAAAAGGAAAATGACAAATGCTGGAGGGGATGTGGGAAAATAGGGACACTAATGCAGTCTTGGTGGAGTTGTGACTTGGTCTAATCATTCTGGAGAACATTCTGGACCTATACTCAAAGATTTATAAAACTGTGCATTCCCTTTGACCCAGCAATACCACAGCTAGGCCTCTAACCCAAAGAGATCAAAGAAAAGGGAAAAAGACCTAGTTGTACAATATTATTTATAGCAGTTCTTCATTGTGTTGACAAAGAATTGGAAATTGAGGGGATGCCTATCAATCAGGGAATGGCTGAACAAGTTTAGGTATACAGTTGTGATGAAATACTATTGTGATGTAAGAAATGATGAGCAGAAAAACCTGGGGAGTCTTATATAAACTTAGTCAAAGTGAAGTGAGTAGAACTGGGAAACATTGTACATAGTAACAGCAATATTTTAACAATGACCAAATGTGAAAGACTTAGCTACTCTGGTCAAGACAATGATCCAAGATAATTCCAAAGGACTCATGATGAAAGTGCTATCCACCTCTAGAGAAAGAACTGATGAACTCTGAATGCAGATTGAAACATAACTTTTTCACTTTTTAAACGTTTCTTTTTTTTTTATTGTGTCTTTTTTCCACAACGTGGTTAATACAGAAATATGTTTTGCATGACTTCCCATATATAATTGATATATTGCTCACCTGCTTAATGTGTAGGAGACAGGAAGGGGAGGAGAAGATAATTTAGACCTCATTTTTTTTAAAATGAATGTTTAAAAAATAAAATGAATGGTTAAAATAAATAAATAAAAAGAAAAAAAAATAAACATGAATATGACTAAAGGCTCTGCCTCCCCACCCCATAGACCTTATCTTTACCTTAAAGTTTTGCTATTTTTGGTTTCTCAAACTTTCTCTAAGCCTGGAGGCAGAAATTAGGTCAAGTGTAAGTATCCCTGGTTGTCTCATAAGATAATATGAGCAGCATTTCTGGAGCTCTATAGGAGACTTATAGATTGGTCTGGGAAGTTCTCTGATATCTCAAAGGACAGTATACTCCAAGAAAAAAGGTGAATAGAATGTCCTTTGGGAGGGATTAGGTAGAATAGGAGCTAGGCAGGCTTTCTGCTAATGTCTCTACCACCTCCTTTTTAAGGACATTAGGTTTCCTTGGTGTGGGGGAAAAGGCTAGGAAGCTCCTACCAAGTAGTCCCTTCTGTATGCTCAGGTAATTATCTAAAGTCAAAGGCCTCTGCTCTGTAAGGACCAGTGCCCCTAAAAAAGGCCAAATTTCAACAACCTGCAAAAAAGTTTGTGTAATCAGGAAACTGTGTTCCCATTTCTACTTTAACACTCTGGGTTTCCATTTCCTCTGAAAAATAGGGGATTGATAACATGAAGTGTTCTCTAAGGGTCGCTTCCAGATTTGAGCTCCATTTGAATCCATATAAATTTGGTCTGATTTTCTGTAAGGGCTAAAAGAGACTTCTTCTAGGACCACAGGCAGACTACTTTCCCTCCCTCCAGTCCCAGTTTCCTTCCTGATTCCATATATTTTATTTTATATATTTAGAAAACATTTGTAGGGGAAGCTAGGTGATATAGTGGATAGAGCACCGGGCTTGGAGTCAGGAGGTCCTGAGTTCAAATCTTGCCTCAGACACTTGACACTTACTAGCTGAGTGACCCTGGGCAAGTCACTTAATCCCATTGCCTAGCCAAGGTGGGGGGGGGGAGAAAGAAAGAAAACATTTGTAGCCTTCATGAAACTCCTGAAGAGCTCTGTGACATACAAAAAACTTAAAAACTCCTGCCCTAGACAATCCTTGACATCCCTTCTGACTTTTTATAATAAACAATTTAAAGATTTTGGAGAGATTGAGTGGCTTCAGATCCCTTTATGCCACTCTCATCAAAGGTATTTATCTTTTAAATATGAGTTACCCCTCCATATTCATTGCCCAACACCTAAGTTCCCTAATTAGATTTCTTGGAAGCCAGGTATTAAGGCAAAACAACTTACCTTAGAATTTAAAGTTTTGTCATTGGTGTTGTTTTTTGTATTTGTATTTGTTTGTTTGTTTTGGTAAGTTGTTTTGAATTGGACCTATGATTAAACTGGTAATTTGTGGGATGGAAGCTAATAAAAATTAACATCTGTCCTTCAACTTACGGTCTCAGAGAGTTGACTGGAGCAAGATCTACAAAGTAGGGATGCAGCTTCATGTACAACCCTCTTCTGTTCTACTGCTTATGTTAAAATGTTCATTTTATTTGATTGGTTAAGTTCAGAATAAAAATAAATAAAACATGTGAAAAAATTAACTGCCTAGGGGTACTGACAGGTTTAAATTACTTTCCTTGTATCCTACAGTCAGGATGTGTCAGAGATGGGATTTGAACTCACTTCTGTATCCATGACATTGCAATGACTCTCATGGCATTTAATTTTCAAGAAAAATTATGCCATGGAAGGAGTGGCACTTCCAATAAGTCATTTCAGTTACCCCTGACTCCAAACAAATTTGAGGCAGCTCCAGTCACTGGTAACCAGTCAGAATGGTTTTTATCCCTATGTAGGTACCCTTCAGGCAAAGTTCCATGTAATCTCATTAATTTAATGAGGTGTACTTGTCAAGTTTATAAGAGATGGCCCACAAATCAACTTCCTTTTTCCCTGGAAATTTATTTCCTGATTAATAAAAGCTTAGTATGTTTAAAAAAATGTTTTTTGAGGAGAGTGGCTACCTTCCCTAGTCATGGTCTTGCAGTATCCTGAAGTGTCTGTTTCCTTCAATAGGGTGGTATCCCCCTATCCCACCACTGAACAAGCCTTTATTACTATATGCCTCTTGTGTGGTTTGCAATGCTGGCCCCCAGGGGCTTAAATTCCTACCTTCAGCTCTTGTTGGTTTATGTAAGAGGCTATGCCTGGATTATGAGTCTTCAGTAAATAAAACAAATTATTCATTTCACAAATGTGTTTGAATTATATAATTTTTATTCCAGAAAACCAGTTTATACATTATAAAGCAGACTATCTTAATGAAAAATCAGCTTTGAGAAAAGTCACTTTAACAAAAACACAATTGTGAATTTGTTAAATAATTTTTTCTGCTGTGGTCATCAGTCAGTGACAGAAAAATTGCTACTAATAAGAACTGAACTTCTGCAATAGAATATTCAGAGGCCATGCCTGTGATTTTTTACTCTATAAATACCAAATATTGCCTTCTTTTTTAATTTAAACTTCCATTGGATTGATTCATGATAAATATAAGTGTTATTTCATTAAATTTTATGGCCATTTCTAACCCTGAAGACTACTTACAGGGAGTATAATTTAATTGTATTAAAATAGCATTTTAAGTGTCATTTTGAGGATTATTTTACCTTTTTAATAACTATGCAATATTTCGCTGAATGCCTGGTCATAAGATGATGATTTTAATTCATTTTGTCATATAGTACCATAAAGGGAATCCTCATGTTATCTCCCTTAGCTCTGATCTATTTTGGACTCCATTCTCTTTTCAGACTAGCAGATATGAGTAGGCAGCTAAGTAGCTTTGTGGATAGTGTGATGGTCCTGGAGTCAGAAAGACCTGAGTTCAAATCTAGCCTAGGACACTTACTAGCTATATGTCCAAGGATAAATCATTTAACTTTGTTTGCCTTAATCTACTAGAAAAGGAAATGGTAAGCCACTCCATTATTTTTGCCAAGAAAACCACATGGACAGTTTCGGTGTTCTGTGATCCATGGGGTCACAAAGAATTAGACATGATGGAACAACTGAGCAACAACATGTCAAGAACTGATAGATGTTGAAGATACAGAGACAAAAAAAATGAATAATCCCTTTCTTCATTAACTTTGTATAACAACTCATAGAACTAACAACATTTAATGGAGCAGAACTTCAAGACAAGATGATATGTTATTACACTGATTTAGATATACACTGGTATATCAAAAATACATTTTCAAAGATCTTGTAAAAGACCTTGCAGAACATTTAGTCCAATTCCTTCTTCACATAGACCATAAGCTCTATGAAGGCAAGGTCTAGACCTTACTTTACCTTCTTTTTCCCCTTCCTCATTACGTCACAGTGCTGCCACTTGATTATAATGTTGGTTGAGTAGACTCACATGGAATCCAGTTAAATTGACTGAGGAATCAAAAGATCACAAAGGTTTAGTAGCTTGTCCAATCTAACCAGTGACCATAACAATTAATTCAGAAAAGCCATTATATGGCACAGTCCCAACCTATCCCCTAGCAGCAGCATTACAAAGCAGTTTCCCTGTACTATAGTATAAAAGTTGTCAGCTTCAATCACTTTTAATTATAATGGTTTGGTAGGATATGATGTTAAAGATTTAAACTGAAAATGTTCCAATATTGTAGATTATTGCAGTCAGTAGCATGATTCTAAAGTCTATAATTTAATTAAATTCATGATTAAATTCATAATTGATCATTGAATTTGTGTTAAATATAAACAGAGTGTGTGTATGCAGATATAGTGATGTGGTGAATAGAGAGCTGCACCTGGAGTCAGAAAGACCTTACTTCAAATCTGGCCTCAGATACTTATCATCTGGGTGACCTTGGAGAAGTCACTTAACCTCTCTGTGACTCAGTTTTCTCATCTATAACCTGGGGAGAATAATAATAGTACCTCCTTCCCAGGGCAGTTATGAGGATAAAATTAGGTAACATTTATAAAGTGCTTTGCAAACCTTAAAGCTCCGTGTAAATGCTAGCTATTATTAGTCTATCTCCACTACATCTTTCAAATCTATTCCTATGTCTCTACTCAGTCAGCCACCATGATTCAGGCCTACTTCCCACCTGGTCTCTTGCAATAGTCTCCTAATTCATGTCCCTGACTCAAGACTCTTCCCATCTGATCCATTTTGCATATAACTGGCAAAGAGATATTACAAAAGCAATAGTTTGACCATGTCATTTTCTTTCTAAATGAACTTCAGTAGCCTTTTATTGGGGCAGCTAGGTGGCACAGTGGATAGAGCTCTGGCCTGGAGTCAAGAAGACATGAGTTCAACGTGACCTCAGATACTTACTAGCTGAGTGACCCTTGGCAAGTCACTTAACCTTGATTGCCTCAGTGTCCTTATCTATAAAATAAACTGGAGAGGGGAAAATGGTAAACCACTCCAATATCTTTGTCAAGAAGACCCCAAAACAGGCTCACAAAGAGTCAGACATGACTGAAAATGACTAAAACAATGACAGCTTACTATTGCTTCTAGGCACAAATACAAACTTCCTTATTTCAAGTTTATAGACAATCATTGCTTAGCCCCAACCTACCTTTCAAAATTTATTGACCTTTCATGTAGTGTAAAGTCTAGATATAGTGTCCTGCTTGTTTCTCATATGCAGCATTTTATCTAGCTAGAATCTACTTACCTTTGCACTGGCTGTAGCTAATGCTCAGAATGAACTTCATCCTCATCTGTACTTGTTTCCTTCAAAACACAGCACCAACTGTATCTTCTCCATGAAGCCTTTTTGATTCCCACAGCTTGCTCCGCCTCAAAAAGTTTCACGTTTATTTTACACATAATTGTATACATACATGTTGTTTATACCAGATTAGATGTTAGCTCTTTGAGAGCAAGAATAATTTCACTTTTGTCTCTGATTTTCCAGAGCCTACCACAGTGCCTCGCACATAATAAGCACCTAATAACCATTTGGAGCTTGATTAACTAGTCCAAGTTGAAAATAAATATTATGCATGAAGATTAAAACTTACAAAATATATTGAAGCTGGATAAATTGGAAGGCTGTTATTCATATCAAATCAAAAAAGATATATTAATTGACTTCTATGTACAAAATGATGTAATAGTCAGAGAAACAAAAACAAAAATGTCAGGTGGCTTACTTGGGAGAATAAAATAAATACACATATAAGAACATATAAGGACATTTGAACAAGACAGAAAGAGAGAATTAAAAAAAAATAGAAACAGGGAGATGGCACTGAGCTGAGCTTAGTAGAAAGTTAAAGATTCTACAAAAACGGAGGAAGGAAGAAGATACCATGCTAAATTGTTGGGGAAAATGGTAGTTACACTTGAGACATAGATCATAAACTGACATTATTTCTCCATAATATGAATTTTCTGATGAATAAGCAGTGACCAATTCTTTCTCCTGGCTCAACACATTGGCTGTGACTATTGCACATGCCTAGAATTCTCTCTTTCTTTTCACTCCTGGATTCTTCAAGTCTTAGCAAAATCCTATTTTTATAAGCCCAATCTCCAACCTTATTTAATCTTGGTTCCTACCATTGATGATTATCTCCAATTTATCCACATGTATTTAGCCTGTAGGTAGTTGTTTGCATGTTGTATTCCCCAGTTAGAATGAGTTCTTTGAAAGCAAGGGCTGTTTTGTTTGTTTGTTTGTTTGTTTTGTTGTTGTTGTGTTGTGTTTTGTTTTGCCTTTCTTTGCTTGGCACATGAATGTAAATGCTTCTTGATTTGATCTGACTTGATCACTGGCCAAAAGCCTTTTCACACTGATTATGTTGACATAGTGTCTCTATAATATGAACTCTCTGATGTTGTTCAATTGTGTCTGACTCTTTGTGACCCCATGTGGGGCTTTTTTGGGAAAGATACTGGAATGGTTTGCCATTTCCTTCTCCAGCTCATTTTACAGAGAAGAAAACTGAGACAAACAGGGTTAAGTGACTTGCCCTGGGTCACACAACTTGTGTCTAAGGCTGGATTTGAACTCTGTAAGATGAGACTTCCTGAGAAGACACCCAACACTCTTTCCACTGAACCACCCTTGATATTCAGCAACCTTTGAACTAGAAGCCCTTCCCACATTCATTACCTTCATAAGGTTTTTTTTTCATGCAATATGGGTTGTATCAAACTGATTCAATTCTGAATTTCAATCAAGAAATTCTATATTTATTTCACTCAGGAAAAAAAAAGAACTTCCTTAAACACACTGTATCACATTTTCTTTTGTCTGACTAAAGTCTGAAGTTTTTTTTTCTTTATTTATCACATATATGGTGACTGTGACTCATTCTCTTGCTGCCTTTCTAAGTTATCATTGTATTCCCTGGCTTCTGTGAAAAGAAACATAGGAATCATACTTTATGTGCATTTCCTGGGACGATTTTTCAGTAGAAAGACTGAGTTTGGAAGATGACATATTGGACTCAGTCCTTGTCTCCTAATCTGATATATGATCACCAAGACTTTGTTTAAAGACATCAAGGGACAGGTTAGCTCCCTTTTCTTGAAACAGTTCAGTACTATATTTGAATATCCTTGTTTCTTTTTCAGTGTTTGTGAATTCAACTTTTAAAATTTTTAGTACCAAGTTAGCTAATAGTTTATCCATTTTATTGTTTTTTTTCAAAGCTTCTAGTTTTATTTATTAATTCAATTGTTTATCTGTTCTCAACTTTGTTAATTTCTTCTTTGATTTTTTCGTTAGGTTTTCTATTTTGCTAATTGGGGTTTAATTTAAAATTTGTTTATTTTCTAAGCTTTTTTTGAGTTATATGTCTAATTCAATGATATGTTCTTTCCCTTTTATTATAATGTCTCATTTAAAGGCATAATTTTTCTCCTAATAGTTGATCTGAATGGATCCCAAAAATTCTTGCATACTGTTTCAACCTTACATTTAAAGAAATTATTGTTTCCATGATTTTTCTTTTGATACACCTAGTCTTTGATATTACATCAGTTTCTAATTAATTTTAATCATTTCTTCAGCAGCCCTTTATCAAATATAATTTCTATTACATTGTGATCTCAAAAAGATGCATTTAATATGGACAAGCTGATCAATATAAGTTGATCACTTGAAATCTCATCCCCATGAAGAATGACTAAGGTTTTGAGTCAACTCTCCCTCAGTTGCCTCTCCTCTCTGATTGGAGGGCTAGAGGAAAGAGCACTAAATTCCTCCCAAAGCTTTCTTTATAGAGGACTCACAATCTTCTTGGCAAATCCATTTTCCATCAGCTGCTCTGCTTAGCTTTAAGGGAACAATGTTCCCCTCTTTCCCCCAGGACAGCACCTGAAATTACATAGCATAGAAACTTCATTATTTACCATAGAATTTTACTGTAACATAGACAGTTCTTTTACCCTGGAAACTCACTTCACACCTAAACTACCTCTCCCATTAGACATACTCTCAGTGCCAGAAGCCTTACCTTCAGATTGACTGATACTAACATCCAATTTAAAGAGGAAGCCAAGGTCAAAGATGTCTTCATGTCTTCATCCTTCTTCAGGCTATGCTACTTTCTCATCTTCACAGAATTTTCATTACCATGTTATGGAAACTACTTCTCCCATTGGAAGGGTTCTCCTCCCCGAGACCTTATCTTCTGAATGGCTGCTTCCTCCCCAAGCCTCCAATTTAAGAAGGAGGTTCAAGTCAAAGATGTCTTCATCTCTTTCCAGGCTACATTGTTGACTCATCTCCAGGGGATTTTCTTTAGGGTGGCTCCCATCCAACCCTTAAGTGAGGCAACTTCCCTCACCCTCACTTTTATATGTCGTTTTCCTCCAATAGAACATAAGCCATTTGAATTCAGGGACTGTCTTTCTTTTTGTTTATATTTGTATGACCAGTGCTTAGCACAGTGCCCAGCACGTAGTAAGGCTTAATAAATTCTTGTAGACTGATTGATTTTTCTAAAATCCTATTCACATCTTTTTTTTTTTTTTTTGGTTAGGTTCATGGAAGTCTGAGAGGGGTAAATGTAGATTCCTTTACTATTAGAGTTCTACTATCTATTTCTCTTTTTAATTTATTTAACTATTTATTTAGGTATTTAGATTCTATGTGATTTGGGGCATAATATTTTGTATTGATATTGATTTATTGTCTATGGTATATTTCAGTAAAATGCAGTTTCCTAGTTTATCTCATTTAAATGTTTATTTTTGCTGTTGCTCTGCATGAGGTCATGATTCTAACTACTCCTGCTTTTCTTATTTACTTCATCTACTTATACAAAGCATGGAAAGTTTTGACACAGACCCTTATTTCAACTCTCTGTACATATTGCTGAATTCTGCTTTCTAATCCATTCTGTTATTCTCTACCACTTTGTGTATGAGTTCATAACATTTTCATTCTTAGCTATGATTATTAATTGTGTATTTCTCTCCATCTTGTTCTTTTATTCTTTTCTTTCTTTTTGTTTCTTGCCCTTTATAAAAAAAATACTGAGGGGAAAAACATTTCATTATCAGTTTTGTGTAATCTGCCTCTGCTCCCTGCTCCTCTACACTTTCCCTCTCCCAGAACCCAATAACAGACTCTTAACCTTTGTTTCTTTTCTTCTAAGGCCCTCTTTGAAATCTGCTGTCATTTAGAGTTTGTTTTGCTTAAGATCCAAAAATTCCTTAAATCATCACCCATCGAATGAAACGTATTTTTGTATCCAACTATTTGTAAGTTCTTCTCTCCTTTGACCAGTTCAGATGAGTTCTTCAAGTGTCACCTGCCCCTCCTACTCTTTTCTTATTTTCATAGACTTCTACTCATCTACCCCAGTTATATAAGTTCTCCCATTCTTACTCTCTTTCCCTCCCCTCAACTGTACTCCTCTTTCATTCCCTCTGTATTTTTAAAGCAATAAAAACATAACAAAATTACTTCCAGACGCTCTATTTATATTCTCTCTATGACCTCTGATATCAGAGTTCTAAGAGTATAAGTTTATTATCTCCCCGTATTACAATATAAAAGTTTTATCTTTTCTTAGTCTCATGATTGCTTGCTCATGTCTACATTTTTATTTTTCTTTAGGCTCCTGCATTTGTATTTCAAAATTTCTATGGAAATCTGTATTTGTTTTAGTCAGGAATGCTTAAAAGACTTCTATTTTATTAAAAATCCATTCCCCACCCTCACTCCTAGCCCTTTAGAATTATACTCAGTTTTGTTGGGTAAGTTATTCATGGTTGTTAGCCTATATCTTCTGCCTTAGAATATGGAATTCCAAGCCCTCTTTTTACAGTGGTGGTTGCTAAATCTTGTGCAATACTGACTGTCGCTCCTTAGTACACTATTTTCATGTCATGCTTTTACCCAGATAACTTTATTCCCTTTTCCTCTGCTCCCATTTTCCTTCTCAAGCTTTGAGAGATCAATCAAATTAACACTACTGTTCTTGGAAGGGGTATGTCAATCAATTGCCCGTGGATCATATTCATAATCTCTGTAATTTCCTAGGCCCAAACACTCTTTCTTTCCCATCAATCTCTTATAGATATAGTCTTACCTTATTGGAATATAAGCTCATTAAGATTGGGGACTGTATTTCTTTTTTTTTTAATTTATAACCTCAACGACACTAAGCATGGTGCTTTGCATATAGTAAATGATTAATAAAGGCTTTTTTTTATTAATTCATTTACAGGAAAATTCCAAACTACTTAACATGAGTAGTGATTACAACCTCTGCCTAATGGGTTTATTTGATATTGCAGAACATAAATTTATGGTGCAAATAGTCAGTAAGGTTTGGAGATTTCTTCCACCAACACTCATATGTTTAGGAGTAACAGGTAAAGAGCCACAATTATTCTGAATTGAGAAAAGTCAAGGGGACAAAGAATTCAAGAGTGGAAGAGTGAACACTATTTAATGTTAATGCCATAGCATCCAAATCAATGACACTGGTCAAGGGTTGTTAGACTTGGAAAATAGGAAACATTTGGGGAACTAACATTAACAAAGAAGACAATAATCAGTTATTAAAGTATATAGAGAGGAAGAATTGTGGTTAGAAGTGGGAAATTCAATGTTTAGGCTTTAGAAATTGGAGCAGTTTTGAGTGGCATAAAAGTTCTCAATATGAACACCTTGGTTGTTGGTGGAATTAGGTCAAAGTTTGGGATCTGAGAAGTTGAAGAATTCAAGAAGCTGTGAAGATAGGGTTTTAGTGGGATCATAATGCTGATAATCATTGTTTCAATATGGATATCTTCAATGTTGATGGTACAGGAAGGGGTAGGGAGGAAAACTATGAATAAGGTCCCAAAACCATAGAGAAAGCTGAGAGAGTGATAAGCAAGTAGGTTGGACAGTAAGGATGGACATAGAGTGGTATAGTTAGACAACAGCAGTGTGAAAGGAGAAGGCAGTACTGGAGCAAGGATCTGAAAGTGACAATGAACAGTAAGAAGTATGGCAACTCCTCTTGCAAGCTTGATGAGCAACATCAGAAAGGTGGGAAAAGGAGTGACCAGATAGAAATTTTGAGTCTTCAGACAATAATATAGGCTTTAGTTAATATAATGAGGTAGAATGTGTCGTAGTAAGAGATCTAGTATGAAGGAGAACTTGTTGGCAGAGGACTGGGTTTCTAAAATACATAGGGGAATAGGCAGGCAGGAACTAATAGCTATAGAGGTAAGCAGAGCCAGAGTAAGGATGAAAAACAGCAGAAGGCTAATGTGTAAGCTGGTGAGGCTCAGTGACACAGCTTAGTGCTCAGGGACGTTGGGAGATGAGCTGGTGATCAACCTTCTAGTGATCAAACTTCATAAAATATAGCCAATCTGGTCCACAGACAATAAATATATCATTTATTGACAGGTCCATAGTCAAATATTGCCAAACATGATAGAAACTTCTAGAGTTTGTGCTCTGCTCCTACAGCTTTCAAGAGCCCCTGTCACGTCCCTGCCATATTGAGACATCAGGGGGAAACATTAGGGGCGGGATTTTCCATTTTATACATTTGTAAATATGCCCTTTTTTTACTTTTAAAATATCATATTTTAATTTTTATTAAAGTTGTTTTGGTTTCAGAAAGGGAACTGTCCTACTCATAGATGTACCCATCCCATAGTATTTCACAGTATCAAACTAAAAATAAAAAAAGTATCGCAGGACAAATGTTCTCAGTGTTTGACCATTCATATCTATTCTCATAGCATCCAACTAACAAAAAAAGGCAGATCTTTTTAAAAGAATTTAAATCTTATGCCTCCTGATTTCTCTTAGATACATGTATTGCTAACTTTTAGTCCCAGTGCATAAGCTAGTAAAGGTATTCATATTTCATATTTCAGAAAATGTCCAAGGACCTCTTTTTTAAAGATAGACAATAATGTTACTTTCTTCTCTTACAAAATGCTTTTAGTGCTGAATCATTACAATCCCTGTGATTTTCCAAATCAGTTCTGGTAATTGTGATCAAACCCTTCCACTGCTTTATGAAGTATATATGGTAGAATTTGGGCTTTGTTAAGTGCAAACCTCACCCAACCTTAGTTTAAAACTCAAAAGCCACAGAAATCAACTTTTTCTGGGTCAAGTTCTCTTCCAGGCAAAACAAAATTGTCTTCTTCAAAGATAAATAAATTTCAATTAACAATGGCTTTGAAAACATTCTTCAGAACATCAAGTTGTTTTTACAGAATGGTATTTAGAAGGGTTAAGTGTAAATGAACCAGAAACATATGGCTTGTATTCCATTTGAAATAAACACATATTCAGAAATAATTGGGAAAAGTGCTAGGGGAAAATGTTAGTGCAAGGCATTTCATGATTTTCATTTATGTGCTTCAATAACAAGTCAGGCAGAATTCAGTTTAATATATGGAAAATTTTCATCCCAATATTCTAAACTGTCAAGACTTCTTAATTTTAAAAATAATTTTAAAGTGTTTAAATTATTTATAGATGCAATTTTTTGTATCTATCATTAGCACCAATGAAAACTCACATCAAACAAATAGCTATTATCCAGAAAAATAAATGAAGACATTGGCCATATCTGAAAATGTACAACAGTTTCTGTAGTCTATTACTTCTTTATTGATTCCTTCAAAGTTCCCTGCCCTCCATCATTCCATTGTGGTCATCAAGAAATTGTTCTGCTGGTTCTGTTTGCTTAGCTCTACATTGGTTCATGCAATCAATCAATTGCAGTAGTTCAGACATGAGGAGGTGAGCACCTGCACCAGGGTGGTACCAGTATCAGAACAGAGAAGGGGGTATATTTGAAAGATATTGCAAAGTTGAAACTCACAGACCATGGCAACTGATCGGATATGGGGTTTGAGAGATAGAGAGATGTTCAGGATGACAACTAGGTTGGGAACCTGAGGGACTTGTAGGATGGTATTACCCTCTACAGTAATAGGAAAGATAGAAGTGGGGGGAAGATTTAGGAGGAAAAATGAATTCTGTTTTGTATAAATTGAGTTGAAGATGTCTCCTAGACATCCAATTTGAGATCATTAAAAGATAGTTGAAGATGTGAATTTAGAGGTCAGCAGAGAGTTTGGGTCAGGATAGGTAGAATTAAGAATCATTAGCATAGAAATGGCAGTTAAATCCATGGGAG